TCGTCCGTACGCCCGTACGGAGACCCCCCGTACGACGTACGGGGGACGACACAGAGTAAAGCGACTATCTCTATCACTAACTATCGACAGTGGGATCCCATTCTCACTTACCCAACAGTCGAAAAACCTCTGTATGACTAAATCAGTATGCGCCTCTGAAGGTAGAGGAACAAAAACTGCGTACTTACTAAAACGGTCAACTACGACCATGACTTGGCTCTTGCCATGCCTGCTCTTGACTTGAGTGTCCATGAAGTCAATGGACACTGAGTCTCCCGGCTGGTCCGGAATGGGCAAGGGTCGGAGAAGACCTAGCGGGGCGCGCGTAGAACTCTTGTTACACTGGCAAACTTTACAACTGCGGACATACTCTACGCAATCATTCTTCATTCCTGACCAGGTATACGCGCGCATCAGATTGGCTAAAGTCTTTTGCCAACCGAAATGACCCTCTGTGTCGTGGCATTCCCCCGAAATCAGATTTCGGAACTCTTCGCTATTGGGCATGCACAGCCGGTCAAAAACATTAGTCTTCTCGAAAAGCAACCCTTCGGTGGTGCGGTAGTTCGGTTCAGTCTCTGGGGCCTCCTTGACCTTCTTAAGGAGATCACTGTAGATAGGGTCCTGCGTGTAGGCTTCTCTAACCTTCTCCTGCAGATCCTTCCCTATATCGAGGTAGTGTACTATTGCCCCAAAGTAATCAGCCCTTCTACTTTGAACATCCGCGACTACGTTGTACTTCCCTTTGACAGACTTGAGCTCGAAGTCGTACTGATCTATCTCTGCGGCCCACCTAGTCAGCTTAGGTGTCATCTTGGCCTGCGTCTTTAACCATCGTAACGTTTCATGGTCAGAATAGACTTTGAAGTGCCTCCCAAGCAAGTAATGCTTCCAGTGGTCTAACGCTTGCTTGAGAGCGTAGAGTTCCCTCTCGTAGGTAGATGTCGCGACCTTCTCTGAAGGCATTCTGGCGGACATGAACTCTACGGGTCTATACCCATTGCCATCGTCTTGCTGTAACACTACGCCTATGCTGGTCGTGACGATAAAGGGCAAGGACGAGTCGACGACTTTAAGGACTGGATACTCTATCAATGCCTGCTTTAACTTTTTCATGGCAGATGTGCAGTTCTTATCCCACTTCCAGATCGTTTCCTTCCTCAACAATTTGCGAAGGGGCGCAGCGATGGTGGAGAAGTTCCTCACGAACTTCCGGTAGTAGTTAGCTAAGCCCAGGAACGAGCACAACTCTGTCAACGTACGTGGCATGGGCCAATCTCTAATCGCTACGATCTTGCTATCCTCTGGTTTGACGCCGTCTCCGTCTAAGACGTGGCCTAAGTACAAAACTTGGGTTTTTGCCCAATCGCACTTCTTTGCATTAATCTTGAAGTTAGCTTCCCTCAGCTTCTCCAAGACTTGCCTGAGATGACCCTAATGCTCTTCGAGGGTCCTGCTAAACACTAGAATGTCATCTAGATAAACTACAACAAATCTATCTAACCATGGCCTAAACAAATCATTCATACAGCGTTGGAACGTAGATGGCGCATTGGTTAGTCCAAAGGGCATCACTATGAACTCGTAGTGCCCATATCTAGTCCGGAAGGCGGTCTTATACTGATCATCAGGATGCACCTCTATCTGTAGTATCTCATGATATCCGGACTTCAAATCTATCTTGAAAAAATACTTCGCCCCCTGCACTCGATCTAAGAGATCGTCTATCCCAGGCAGTGGCTCAGCATTCTTCACTGTAATAGCATTCAGACCCCTATAGTCTATGCACATTCTCAGTTCTCCCTCTTTCTTAGGAACAAAGAGGACAGGCGCTCCGAAAGGAGACGAACTGGGCCTAATCCAACCCTTCTCGAGGAGCTCGTCTAATTGCTTGTGAAGCTCCTCTAACTCTCGTGGGGACATCCTATACACAGCGCCCTTAGGAGTTTTACTGCCGGGCTCTATCTCAATGCGATGCTGGATGGGCCGCGGTACCACACATATCGGCGGCTCAGTTAGATCCTTGAACTCTTCCAACAGCTTGGCAATTGCAGGGTCCATCGACCTTTCTTCCGTAGGCCCTAACATAGGCAACAAAAACCTGTTCCTCCAATTTCTCCTTTTTCACCAACCTGGCGAACGCAGGAGCACTAAGACAGCAATATGCCAAGGGATTATGTACGCGTGACACATGGAACAGGCGGGCAATCTTGGCCTCGCCTGAAGAGCTAGGGAGCCTACACTCGTGCTCCTTCAAATGGAGCGTGGCCCCGATTGCCTCTCCCCAATCCATTCCCAGGACAATATCGAATGGCAGACTGTCTTCTACGAGGAGAGTCAGGGAGTGGAGGACCTTCTCCACTTTCCCATCCTTCTCTAGGCAAAAATACGTCTGGACTCCCTCTACATACTCCTCTACAACCATAGTACGATTATCTGCGAGGATACTAACTATGGGGTCGGCCAACTTCTCCAGCGCTTTCTTACTAATATAGTTGCGGGTGGCCCCTGAGTCTACTAGGGCCCTACTCTACTTCTAAAAATCTCTGTATCTAGTAATATAAGCTGCCCTTTATTCTCTTTCTTCATCTTGGCCTAGGCGGGCATCCTCTCCTTCAACTCTTCGGCCACGCCTGTGAGGGAGGTGTCTAGCGAAACTCTAACACAAGCAGTTTCGGGACAGCCATCTAGACACCGGCCTGCAACCTCTGCCATAGGCACATGTGGTGTGGGAGTCTCCTGCCGGCTAGCGCTATGTTACCCACATGGCCTAGTGGTAGGGGCAGTTGCTACCCCTACCGGCGGCTGTCTTTTGGCCCTTGAGCAGCCGTTCAGGTCTCTCGATACTTAGGACAGTATTTGATGATGTGGCCCGGGTCACCACAAAAAATGCACTGGCCCCAGTCCAATCGTTGTTGCCATAAGCTCTGGTCCAGACCCAAAGATTCCCAAGGCCTACCCTGCGGTAGCCCTGGGTGTCATCCTCCTACCCTATAGGGAGACCTATTCCTAGGACGGTTTTGCGGGGGACCTTGATCCCTGCCTCCCGCTTGGCGGTTTCCTCCTCTACCGCCAACCCCCTGATCGCCCTGAAACTGGCTCCCTGAGGCCCGGCCCCCTTGGCCCTGGCCTCTTCCTCCTTGCGGCCTCCCTCCAGCCGCGACAGCAGCGTAAGTCCTCCCCTGGCCCACACCATTGTCCTCCTCCTCTAACCCCCACTCAATATGATCGTAGGGGATCTTGTCCCCACTACCCTCATCTAAGGTCAAGACAAGGCTATCCTTAGTCTTCACTTGCACAGAAACAGTGCGACGCTTCCATTGCTTTCCCTTATCCAAGTCTTTGTGCCGGAAGGTGGACACACACGCAGACTTGGCTTCAAAAGCCACCACTTCAGGGCTAAGAGAATCATATGTAGTGGCGGGGTCTTCGCTTTTACGAAGAAATGCCCTCGAAGGGCTTCGGGTATGGCCCGATAGAAGAGGCCGACCAACTGGGTGTCTGTAACCCCATGGTCAGGTACAACCACTAACTCATCCATTGTACTCTTGAGTGCCCTGACACTTTTCCAGTTGCGGGCGTGGATCGTCTGCAGCCTATCAGACGTTTTAACACTACGAGCGACATCAGCAAATCGCTCGCGCAGCAATTTCAGGAACTCGACGAGGGGGGTGAATGTAGAGTACGCAACTGGATCGTCACTGCAGTTGGCAGCGCGAACAAGGGACCTTGCAAAGCTAGCGGCCTCATCCTTAAGCGCGTGGATCGCAGTTAGGACCTGCTGATCCGGGGAGACCTGTTGCAGATGCACATAGGTCCCGACATTGGCCTCCCAATTGTCAAAGTTCTCTTCCTTTTTTCCACTATAGGAATCAGGGAATTTGACTTTGACTGGCTCCCTGCGAGGACGAGTCTCCTCCTCCTTGGGAGCTGCCACCTTGACGCCCTCAATGGCGCGACACAAAAACGCTCAGTCTTTTCGAGGCGATGATTCACCTCGGCCCCTACGGCTCCTATCAGCTCGCGCGCAAAGTCTCAGAATCCCATTCGCATCGAGCGCACAACTATGTCTTGGCTCCGGCTAAACTCGTATTGTTGTTCTTGTATCTTTGTTAGCCGCTCGACGCTCTGGGCGAGTATCTCTACCTTCCGTTCGAGATCTACCTGAGGGGTCAACTTTAGACTCACTTTCTGCACCTCTTCCAACTCTTTGACCGCTTCACTCGCCGCATCCACCCTTCTCTTCTTCTCCCTCATCATGGCAAGTTTCCACTCCATCCTCTGTTGATCCTCCAGTGCCTGTCGCCTAAGACGGTCTTTCTCTGCATCCCAAACCTTCATGGCAGCCTCTTGGTCATCCTTTGGGATGTACATCATTACCTCTTCTTCCTCGCCCAGGGATAAGTTGGCGACCCACTCCGAAATCTTCTTCTCCATCTCATTACCGCAGCTGCCACTATTTTGCCCACTCTTCCTTTGCAGTGGCGGTCCTTCCTCTTCTTCATCCACCTCCTTCAACTTCTCATCTTCTTCCTTTTTCAACCTCTCTTTCTCCCTGGCCATCTCTTCTTCTATCTTCTTCAATTTGACTGCCTGCTCCTCCTTCAAGGCCTTCCTCTTGGCCTCCTTCTTCTCCTTCCTCTCCTTCAAGATGGGGGCCATCTTCTCCTCCTCCTCCTTCGTGTATGGCGTGGTGGAAGTACCGCCACGAGTGGGCCCTACTCTACACGTGAAAGTGGGCCAGAAACCCAAAGGAAAGAGGAGACGCCAGAGGGTCCCCCAAAGGGAGAACCCAACAAGCAAACAATACATCGGATAGTCATCCATCATGGTGTTAGGTGCACGACAACGTCCCACTCCTCACCACTTAGACCTACCCGGACACACTGACCTACTGACTAACTCTCTAAGATCCACTACTCACGACTACTCTAAGGTTGTCACTACTGAAACCAAAGCGGATCAGGAGGCATTTAAGGAGATCCCCCAAACTCCGCAAGAATTCTTTAGCGTCGTAGACACGACGACGTGATCAGCTTGGTCCCTTTGGCGATTTCAGCCCACAACTTAGTCGTTCCAGCCTACTGTGCCACACCGAGCAGCCCGCCGGTCTGTACCGGTCCTTGGAGGGGTTCGTATCCCTCGGGACAGTCGAGTCGTCAGACACAGATCATCAGCCTTACTAGGTCCGGTAGGGGAGTGGTTCAACCAGGCCTCAACACTTAAAGGCGGCCCTCGTTTCAGCCTATAGCCCGGAGTTCGGACCCTTCACACTGAACTCAGTAAACCTGCCGGTCAGTACCGGTCATTGGGCTAGACGAGTTGTTTAACGAGCGCTCGCCGCTCATGCCCAGGTCTCCAGATGCCAGAGTAAAGCTTTGGTCCTACTAAGCCCGTGCAGGTTTGGCAGCAAGACCCTATCCTTCATCCACAGAGTCCTATCACCTAGGACAGAAGAGACTCGATGCAGAAAGAATAGACAGACAGACTCAGCAAGTACCGTGGGGTAAGTGCACATCCACAGGGTAAGGGGATAGGCTAAGGGCTCAACGAGATATCACCAACTCCAGCTTGGTCAAAGTCTTGGTCAGCAGCTCCGGTCAACGTCTTGGTCAACGCTGAGTCAACGTAGACAACCCCGAGTCAACACTTGGTCAACCACCTTGGTCAACACTTAGTCAACCCTTTGGTCAACTTAGTCAACCCTTTGGTCAACCCTCTGGTCAACGGTCTGGTCAACGCCCGGTCAACTCCTCACCTCGGCTATGGCTGCCGGCACCTTCACCTTTGTCACCCTCGCCGTCTNGCTCAAGCCTCCAACGAGGGAACATGCGGGAGCTGCACCCACCAGCAGGTGTGATACCTGCTACAGCAGGTGGGCGATACCGGCCAGGGGTCAGCTGGTAGCATCAGGACCGAGCTTCTTCGATGGGCCAGTCACTGTGCCTCCCCTCCGGTCCCCTCCCCCTATGAACATCAGCAGTCTCTGCTCAATGCCACTCGGGGGGACCAACGGCGTATCTCTAGGTGGCGGGCGCCAAGCTTGCCCAGGAAGGTGCATGAGGCCGATGGGGATTGAACCCAAGACCTCCTGAATGCCACTTGTGTGCCTTACCAACTGAGCTAGGCCGTTTTCTGGGAGACTGCTCTTATCACCACAGAAGCTTCTCGAAAAAAAAGAAAAAAAAAAAAAAAAAGAAGGGGGGAAACTGCTCCGGCGTCACACTTTTAGCTCAAAATGGCCTTTTAGTAAAACATCAACGTCGTCCAAGCTCAAATAGGCAACAAAAAACTAGTTGGCAGGAGCACCACAGCTGTACTTGGTATCAGGCATAAACATCACTAATAGTGTGGCTGTGCTGGGCTCAGGACACGAGGAACCGGGACGTGAGGAGACCACCTACCACGTGGACGTAGGGCGATTTCGAATGCGGGCGCCTATATGTCCCCCGTGGCCGTGGTCACTCAGATTCGAACACCCCCTGTCCTGTAGAGTGTAGAGGTCACCGTCCCGCCCAAAGCGGCCACCTCGTTCTGTGGAGAGCTCACCATTCCGCCTCCAAGCTGCCGCTGCAGTTCGCGTGGATGTCAAGGTAAGCGGCAATCTACCTTTCCTCTTCTTCTGCTTCTTCTCCTTCTTGCCACCACTAGTGACTATTCTTCTTCTCCTTCCTTCTTCTTTCTCTTCTTCCGCAGCCTGCACCTGTTCTCTGTTGTCGGCGTTCCCTTTTCCGTGCTCGTGCAAGGCAGCTTTGGTGGCGGCAGAATATGGACATCGGGGTATCAGCAGCAGCCGGGGGCGGAGTAGTGTCGGGATTCCCACGTGTGAAGACATGGAGAAGAGGAGTGACGGGGGTAAGTAAGGGGAGTTGATGGGGGCGTGCAGGAGACGGGGACGCATGGCGGGCTGCGTCCCGATGAGGAGAAGAGGTCGGGAAGGGGAGAAGCAGCGGGCAGCGGTCCCGACGGCGAAAGGATTGGGTAACAAAGCAGGAAGCATGGCAGCAGCGGCAGCAGCAGCAGTGATTGGACTGGAAAAATCGGCAGCAAAGAAATAAGGGATGAGCACCATGTGTGGTGGGGGAGAGAATTGTGCGAGCGGAGGAGTGAAAGGAAGGACGCCGGACGGCCATGGCGAAGAAGAGGACGAAGAGGACGATGATTTGTGTGAAAGACGACGATGATAAGGATGATGATTCGGGAGGGGGAGGTTCCGCTGCCATGGTTTATTCTTGCAGCGCGGTTGGAGTAATAAAAGGTCGACGGGTGAAAGACGACGACGACGACGAGCATGGTGATTCGGAAAAAAAAAGGTGGACTGGAAAAAGTTTGTCGGGAAAAAGGTGGACACGTGGGGGAAGGAGGATGTCAAGTGGGAAGGAAGAGAGAAAGATGAGGAAGAAAAAGCGGAGGGAAAAGAAAAAAAAAAAACTGCAACGATGACGACGTGAAAAATGTTGACACCGTCTTCTGCTCTGTGACTTTGCGATTTTTTTTTATTTTTTTTTTTTAAGCGGGAGACGACTTCCAGATTAGCGCAACGGAAAGCTCTTCGTACGTAGAATGCGTGCATGCATGCTAATAAGCCATGAACGCATGCATGCTCTTCGTCCTAACTGCCATCAACGCATGCATGCTCTTCGTACGTAGAATGTGTGCATGCATGCTAACATGGCCATGCCGAGAGCAGAAGTTCTAAAGGCTCGTTTTCTTTTCTGTTGTCGACCAGTTTCACGTTCTAGGGGAATCCTTGTCGGAGGCCGAAATGGGATCGTGTCTTTTCTTCTACTTGTGTTTTTCTATCGTATGATTCAAACCAAGCACGGCTGCGGTGGGGGTTATCGATCACATGCAAGCTTGCAGCGTTGCGATTTTGTTCATTCATTCGGCAAACACTCGATCATCTTGTGCAGTTTCGCCCTGGAAGACGGGCGCTTGTGCCATTTTTTAAATCAGAATTTTGAATCGGGGGATGGAAACCTTTTTTTTTTTTTTTTTTTTTGTAGCCAATACGGGATGCAGACTTTATTTCTGTTGTCCTCGTGATCCATCACGGGTATGGAGACACGGTTGCAAGGGTGGAAGAAATCGCACTAAGACTTCTTCTTCATCTGTTTCTTCCTCTCACGGCCGAGGTCATGGGAATGGGGGGAGGTCATGGACCCATGGTGGCGGCTTTTCACAGTAGTACCTGCAATCCGACTCGTCTTATTCACTCTCTTCATGCACGTGAACAGCAACACACACAACTGGCGACATGCGCCCACACAGTACACAGAGATATGTCTTCCAGGTAAGTTCGCTTCCACTGGCTATGGCGACTAAGCGCCCAGACAACTCACTGTTCACACTTTGGATCACCCTGGATGTCCCACACGCAACCCGCAACACACACACACACACACACTACTACAGCTATGGCAGCACTAGCTGCCACCACCCTATCGCTACACTACACTCCTCTGCCCACTTCGTCTTCGGGCACACTGCAGACCTCCTTGCACAAGCTGCTGAGGCAGCGCTTTCCCATGGCATCCGCAGGAATGAATGAATGGCTGGACGCAGCCTCTTGATTTATACTTCTGCGCTGCGTTGGTCTGCCCCGTATCCCTTGGCCCACGAGGTGCACAGTCCCAGACGGTACTTGCTTGACTGGACCGGGACTAACTGGGACTGCTGACCAGACTAGGTGGACTACCACCACTTGACCACGTGCCTCTGCTGAATGCAGACTAACTCCGAAAGGCCACTTCGAGAAGTCTCTAACTTAGCCTTTCGGTACTGTAGCAGCTACGACCTTGCCCTTTCAGGTAAGTAGCCGCTACGACCTTGACTCTTCAAACAACCTACAGCTACTACCTCTGAACTGTTTAGACTCCTACCCTACAAGTCTACAGTTCGAATCCCTCCTACCCTGTGACCTACGAAAGTCTACCTACCACTGGCGATCCTACAGGTCGCAGGTTCAAAGCTACGGGTTGACATCAATACTGTACACAGGTAAGATGGGGAACTTGGGATCCAGCCCTGGGATCTGCATTCGCTACTGCGAACTGGTGAATACCGTTTCATACCTGAACCCCTACGCTGTGCTTCCTGCCGTTGATTTGACAGATTTGTCCAAACCTGCTGCTGATTTTTTTTTAGGGCTTGGAGACTTGGGGCACCCCATCCGTCTTCAGTTTTTCCACCGTGTTTTCGTGATTTCTCCTTTTTTTTTCTTTCTTCAGCTGATGCCAAACGTGTCGGGATAGTGCAAGAACAGCTGCAGTGACGGTAATGACGTGGTTGTTGCGATTTGTTGATTATATTCTGCAAGGGGGAATTTGTTTTTTGAAAATGTCTCAGGGGGGACCTGCTCGCATGCTGCCTGCGAGCTCATTTTTTGTTTCTGCAAATCTCCATTGCGTCATGCGGTGCAATGCACGTGGTGCTTCCTACGGTGCGTCCGAATCTCGTGCGAGGTGCTCGAATATGCCCCCTCCCCTTCCGAAAAGCAATGAACTTTTTTTTTTTTTTTACTTTTTTTTTTTTTTTTTTAATTTTTTTTTATTATTATTTTTTTTTTTTTTTTTTTTTTTTTTTTTTTTTTTAAGCAAGACTTCCCCGGGGGGTCGGTGCTAGGGGTGCTGATAAGAGCAGGCACCACTGGCACTCCCGGAAAACAACGACGTAATTATAAACCGCTTTTTCGTTATTACTTTTTGGACGTTTGTCGACATTTGTGTGCCATCCTTCCACAAGGAGGGGCATCCGAATGTTCTTTCTTTGCACCTTGGTGATTTCAACAGGTGATCCCAGTCACTATACGGATCTTTTTTTCTTCTCAATATATATATATTTTTTTTAAGGATTAACAGCAAAAATATTGATCCTTCCAAGTTTGGCAGCAAAAATGTCGTCCGTTCGAAGTTTCCTTTGCAAGGCCGTCCTGTCCAGATTTGATAGGTAATTGAATTGGTTGGGCTTAAAGAATTAGCCTTTAAAAAAAATAATAATAATAATAAAAAATAGAGGTTTCGTTGCAGCTTTATAGGGTTCCCATAGTTTGCCAGCAAAAATACCTCGTTTTGCCCAGTTTCACAGCGAAGGACCCCTAGGCCTCTGGCCTCAGGGACTTAGGGACTCAGGGACTCAGCGTTCTAGCCTCAGGCCCAGGTTTCTCTTTGCCAACTACAGAAGGCGTATGTGAACCAGCTTGGACAAGGCCGCCGAGCAAGTGTGAGCATACCATTTGCTGTTGCTACTACTGGTACTCTTTGTTGTTGTTACTACTGAGGACTATGTTGCTACTACTGGTCCTCTTTGTTGTTGTTACTACTGAGGACTACGAATGTTCGACCACGGGTAGCGTTTCTCTGCTTCGACTACCGCTACTACTGTTTTACTACAGCTGTTTCTACTACGTGCGCGACTATCTGCTTCGACGACTTCGTATTGATACAAGTGGCTACTGTTCGACGAGACAACTCGGGGGCACCGGTTCTGGAGCGCTTCGGGTTACTTACCCGCGATTGCGCGTAGCTTTGATTGTTGAGCAGCCTAAGCTGGCCTAGCACGGACGCTGTTTCCTGACGGTTTGCTGACACCTTTGGCATTTTCGGTGGTGCGTAGCCCCGGAGGTGACGTGACTATGACTAATGGAGGCTACCGTGGATCCGGTCGCGATCATGATCGGGATCTTTATCCGGATAACCGCCGTAACTTTGGGCGCGATGATCACCGTGAGCATAGCAGAGATGTACGATGTGACCGAGCGAGGGAGCACGAGCGCGGCCCGTATTACGAGAGAAGCCAAGACTATTGGGAGCAACCTAGGCGGACAGCTCCTGTTTGTTTCGAGTGTGGAGAACCTGGACATGATCGAAATCAATGTCCCAGGTTGACGGGGGAAGGCAGCTCGAGGGTAGTTATGATGCGCGGCCGCTCGTTGTCTCCAAATAGGCAACCTTCGGCTCATGGAAGACGCTCTACGTCGGAAGATCCGGCCGTTAAACAACAGTTGGAAGAACTTGCAAGATCGCTGGCAAGTATGAAGGGGCACTTCCATCGTGAACAAGAAAAGAAGGATGAAAAAGCGAAGCGGAAACAGGAGAAGAAGGAGAAGGAGGAGCGGGAGAAGGAGAAGGAGGAGCGCCTTGCTGCGAAGCGCGTGAAGACCGAAAGGAGGAAAAACTACGTCGAGATGAGATCGCCCGTGAGAGGTTCCGTAAGGAGATGCGAATGCAAATCTCCATGGATGTTGGAGGTCTCGGAGAGCACCTAGAGCGCAAGATTAACCGGGTTATTGATCTCACTAAAGGGAACGGCAAGGTTGAGGAGGCACTCTCCGAGGAGGAATCATACAAATCTGAGAACAGTGACGTTGAAGCTCTGAGCAACCAGGCGGAGAATCTGACGATCAATGAGAAGCGCAAACGCGGCCCCGAAGAAGAGGTGGGAGATAGCCCACCCATGGAAACACCTGCGAAGCGCTCCGCCAAACGCGGGACGTTGGATCCCGTACGGCTTACCAAGCGGTTACAGCTGAGTTGTCGCCGACCACCTCTCAAGAAGACGCCTCCGAGGAAGACACCGCGACGAAGCGTGGGGAAGAACAAGATTCCAGCAGCAGCTGGACCGATGGGGACGCTGAGGTTTGTTACGGAGAACCTGAAGGCACTCGGGAATACGATGATGGACCAGCTAAAGGAGACTTGTCGTTTGGAAGATGTTCAGTACGTGTCTAAGAAGATGGAACGATTCTGGCTATTGCCGATAAGCGGACACAGATTGCCTACGGATCGGACCATGATGCTGCCAAGGTGGAGGCCGTGGAGCATGACGATCTGGTCGCTGCTACCGCTGAAGACACCAAGTCAGATACCGAGGAGGATGTGGAACCTTGAAGCGTTGGGCAGCTTTGGAGTCTTTGTCGGGCTGTGATACAGGTCCGAAGGGAATCCCCCTTCGACCCTTACCTTGGAGCGACTCTATCGTCTGATTGTCATGTTGCTTGCGCTGTATGGTCAAATTCGGTGGTTGCGTAAGTGTGCACTGTCCTGGATTAGCTTGTTTGTGCGCCATGGTATGGAAATCTTCCTTGGCGAAGGTACGGGAGTATACCTGATCTCCTCTCCGTTATGTAAGGCGGCATATGTCGGTCAGATGGGCCGCTCCTTCAACGTTCGTTGGAAGGAACACTTGTCAGTCTCAGGCCGTGATCTTAAGAAGAACCACCTGTACCGTTGGTGGAGAGTATTCGGGATAGAATCCTATGTCTTGTTACCTCTGGACACGTGTACGACGGTCGAACTACCGTTTCTTGAAGAGCTTTACATTCGTATATGGAGCCCTGTTCTGAATACAACTGGAAAGGCTCGGAAACGTAGACATCATAATTGCCGTGTCCAGAAGGGTAAGAGGGAACGGGAAAAAGCTAGCCATCGGAATGACGTGTGCACCGTAGACCAGGATGTGGCCACCAGATGTTCTAGTACGGTAACAGCTGTGTGCGCAAAGTTGGAGGATTGCGAGGACTGGAGGGTGGATATATTCAGACTCCTTCAGCAACAGGAGGAGAGAGGTTGCAGATCTTTTCGGTTGACGGTACGAGGAGGCAATAGCTGGTGTGGAGGATGGAAGTCAGTCAAGTCAGCCTTCGGATGCTCTATTGTGAAGGCGAAGGGACTGAAAAAACGACTACATGACTGCAAACACCTGCTTGAGCAAGGTACTGATCTGGAGTTCTGCCAGCTTAGAAGATGGAAGCCGAAGGTTGGACCAGACAAGAAGTTTCTTGTCTCTATGCTGCGCACTCCTGGATTACTCGCTAAACTGTCTGACTGTAACCTCGATGCGTTGGTTCATTTGATGGATACTGCTAAGGATTTTCAGCGATCGTCTACTACCGCTTACCTACATAGACATATAGCGCGCGCTATCAAGAGGTCATTTGGTTGGTGTATTAACTCTAGGATCATTGTTCGGCTGAAGTACGACGATCGGATAAAGATAGTCGAGGTTAGGAAGGTGCTGAACGACAAAATTGAGCGTTTGGATATCCCAGCTTGCATAAAGAATGCCGCACGTAGGCTGACGTAGCGCAGTTCGGATCGTCTGGGTTAATAACCCATCGGTCGCGGCGCACTTTTGCGCGCGCTGATGTGTCCACCTGTACATGTGCAGGTTTCCCCTACCCCAGGGTAGGTGGCCACATGCAGGCTCGGTTGCAGGATATCGAGGGCGTCCATCCGCTCATCCTCAATGCGAATAATATCCCAGTCGCACCCCAAGCGCTGCGCTCTGTTGACTAAGGAGATTGAGCTTGGTCTGCAATCTTGGGCTAATCGCAGAGATGAGACGCCACCTATCCTTCCGTCCGAAGTTCGGAGATGTATGATCGCGCCATCGGGGGAGGAAGCCGAATACCTCGATGTGCGCTGCATTAGGAGTCTCGGTAGTGATCTGTCGGGTCTGGTACTGACGCCGTTGGACCGAAATCCTGGCGAAACTTTGGTGCTATGCCCGAAATTGTACTATGAAGCCATGATGGAGTTGTTCGTATGCTCTTCGGGGTACGTTGTCGTGCAGCAGGATGAAAATTTACATACCAGTATGGTGGAGGACCTGCGAGCTATGAATCCCCCGCGGCCGCGGTCACCGCGGGAAGCTCCGACGGTTTGTGTGTGGCATCCGACTTATGGATGATGTTAGCCTTCTTATCAGTAAACCGAAGGGGGCCTGTGCAGTTGTGGACCGAATCCGGACATGCTTCGAGCAGTGCTACCCGGATAATCTAACTCTTGTTCGTACGGATGATGGGACGGGACTCTGGGATTTCCTGGGCACCAGGATGAAGGTTGACCGTCTGCCGCCCTTTGTCAGCTGCTACCAAGTGCTGAAGAACGAGCATATGATATGGGACTATGAGTGCCTTGAATTCAAGAACGGGCAGACTTACCGTTCCTGGGGCAGTAAGGAACAGAAAAGTGCTGCCGTTTGCAGTTATCTGCATCGCATCCACCGAAATACGAATGCAGTTGCCAAAATTCCCATGCGTGTGTTGAACCTGAAACGGGAGCTCCGTTTTAAGAGTTTCCCCAAGCAATTCCTGCAAGGGATCCTGCGCAGCTTTGTAGTTGGTCGTGACCCGATCTGGGCAACCACATATCGTTGGCTGTACTTGTAAGCCGACACTTTCCTCATGGCTGTGTGTTGAGTTTTTTTGTACTGTAGATAGGTTGATTGGTTGTGTATGGCATTTTTTGTTCTACCTGTAGCTTTCTTTTTCTTCGTTTGAGTACTTCGTTTCCAAGTATGTGGTGTTTACTGTAGAATAGTGATACGAACATCAATACGGGGTCGTGGTGTCTGTCTTTTTCGATTTCGCATTGGGGTTTGTTTCTTCGGCCCTGCGTTACTCTGTTTTTGATTTGCCTTGCTTTCCCTTTCTGGGGGTGATCTAGTGGGACAGAGTTACGTAATGCGGTTCCGGCTATCCTGATTAGCTGAGCAGGGCTGAGTATCGACACCTTGGTTTTCCCTTTTTGATTTTCCTTTCTGGTGGGATATAGTGGGACAGGGCTACGTAATGCGGCCTAGTGGGACAGGGCTACATAATGCGGTTCCGGCTATCTTTTTTCCTGAGTTAGTTGAGAAGGGCTGAGCATCGATTCCTGGTTTGTTTGTTTTCTCGGTTTCGGTTTGAGTCCTCCGGCTTCAAGCTCCGGCTGTATTTGACCTTGTTTTCCGGCTCTGTGTTTTTTTGGCTCCCGGATTCGGACTTTTGTCCGCTCAAGCCTGAGCTAACCGTCTGGTGAATATGGCTGGGGGAGAGGCTACCAGGGGGACATTTGGCAAAAATACAGGGCGATGACAGTAGCAGCAACCTGCCCTGAAGGGGGCCAACATACGTAGATCACATCTGTTTTTCTTTGGGGGGGGAACTAGGCGGGAGTCACAAAAATGAGTTATAATTGCACTATGGGCCGAAAGACAGTTACAGCTGGAATCCCATTTCGGGATGAGAGCATTTGGTGGAACTGATGAACCATTCAGGTCGAATGGGGCAGAGGCGAATTGCAGTTCGAGCAATGTATACAACCCAGCTTTCTGCCCAGGTAGGGTGCCCGAAGTGCAATAATTGCAAACTGTATCTTGCCCCATAGGTGTATGAAAATCACAAAAGCCTACTAGCTTCTTACCTTTTCTGTCAGGAAGTATCAAACTGAATCCGCCTGTCTCGAAAGGCTATTGTGACGAGCCAATTTCCACACCACGCGATTTTCTGCACGGTAGCGACGAGGGGTCCTAAGCTGGGAAGGATGGGCCTATTACGGGAGATTGGGATCGGTGGGGAATTGCATCGGTGTCCTCGCTTTTTCGTCTTTTTGCGTCGTTTCTCTTTGGATGGCTGGGTTCGGGCCCGGGTGAGTCTCAGGACGATCGAGTGGCTGGTTGGCTGTGTGAGTGGTGCACCGCCGTGCGCGCGAATAATAAATGTTGACGCCGCTTCTTTTGTTTCGGTTTTGGACTTTTGGGCGCGGACATCGCGCGGGAATTTTGCTTTGATTTTGAATTTTCTTTTTGATCTTTTCTTCAGATCTTGCAGAGCCGTGAAGGCTCTCGGAAATTCGGACTTTCTTTTCGGAGTTTATGCTTTTACTTTTTCGCATTAGATAGGAATTTAGGAATTTTGCAATTAGGATTTTCCTTTGCCGCACGACACCCTTTGTCTACGAGCTTCTTCGTGCGGCTGCAACGGAACTCTAATTAGTTGGCGCCCTTTTTTTTTTTCTTTTTTTTTTTTTGGAAACTCAAAATGAAGATTGAGGTCGGGGTCCTCACAGTCTACCCAAAGTAACCGAACCGAATCATGCTGAGAACCGGGCCCAGCATCCCTCATATGATGATGATGGTGATGCTAATGATGATGGACTTCTAGTGATGCTTAGAAAAGTGTAAGATAGGAATTCCGATGATGATGATAATGATGATGATGATGCTGATGGTGATTAGTATATAAAACTACAATTGCTAAGCACCTCTTGAAACCCTCAGCAGTTTTTTAAAAAACTCAAGTATCTAAGGGATTTCCTACGGATCCTAACAAAGCTCACCGGAACTGACTTATTCTCTGACAAACTCAACCAGGCCTCATGCCCCTTAACTGCTAGGTTACAGAACAACGCGACTCACTCCAGCTCCGACCATTGTCGTCCTGTGTCAGCAACCCCTAGCTGTCTTTTAGGCTGCCCCCCGCATAGCATCCCCAGATCTCTCAACAAGGCCTCATGCCCTCACCTTCGGCAAGTTACAGGGCATCACCCCGGCTCCGGCCAGCGTCGTTCTGGCGTTGGACAACCACGGATCCTGAATATAACAGTCTAAATCCAGTGCAGCTTCGTACAACCCACCGACAAACCCTCAGAGACCTGAGAAATTCTTCAAACTACCAGGCATAACAGGAGAAATCCGATCCAAGAAGCTTCCAAAAGTCACCACTCAGAGAAACTCCCCCCTGCCCCCTATCCCATGCTGCCACCGCCGAGGAAAACCTCCTCGGCCCCAACCTGGAACAAACCCCCTCCTCCCCCCCTTCCGCAAAGACAACCAATTCCCTCCTAGAGGATACCTTCGCCCTCCCCTTGTCCCTATCTGCCCCCGCCAGGGTTGAAGGCGACCAACTCTCCTACCCCGGCCCCAGACAAGGACAAACCACAAATCTGCCCCTACCCCCGACAGGGCAGCCACTTCCCACCTTGCAGCGCCCCTGTAGAGTAAGGCTCCCCAATACCACCCCCACCCTTCCCCCTAGAGTCCCAACCGTGACCACAAAAGCCCTATCCCGACTGAAGCACATCCATCAGATCGAATCCCTAAAGCATAAGGTAGAACTAGAAATTTCTAAAAATTATGATGAAGCGAGAGGTAGATGCGAGTTTTATTTTTTGGATTTGCAGATGGTGATAAACAGCATCCTCAAGATGA